TATATATATATATATATATNATNTACTACTACCTACTTGTAGTACTTAGTATAGTATACTATATATATATATATATATATATATATATATATATATATATCATCTAAGTTATATGCTTGCACATCAACACATTCATCTACAAGAGCCATTCGCCTATGTTGACATCAACGGACTCGCCTCCTAACGAATCACATCGCACCTCATGTCTAGACTTGACATATACATACATTCACCCACACCTATATATATGATGTGGGCGTACTTATCCACGCATATCTATTTGAATGTAACATACCCGACTAGATGTACGCTGGTATGTATACATATATACTCGAGCGAGTACATGTATACATATATCCAATGAACACATACACGTATATATTTATATGTACGTTTATATATGTATGGTGTAGATATCGATATATGTACGCATACACACACCTGCATTTAAATAATCACATATTGTGACGTTTCATTGGTGTTAATTCGCGAGATATGCCGTACGGTGCATTTATAGTGCGCATGGGCGTGTCAGCATCATGCCACAGCATGTCGACCGTGAAAACGACACGTTCTTGTATCAAGGATCCTATTCTATTAAGAAGACACCTTGGAAACACACCATCGTTTGTCGCATCGGTCCTGCAGGTACCGCTAGGTGGAAACCCTCAACCGAGTTCTTAGCTAAACTAGAGGAGTCTAAGGAGTTTGAACAAAAGCTCAAGACTTGTACAACACATGCACCCAACAAGAATTCAGTCGAGCTAATGCCGATTGAGACGGCATTAGATCGTAAAATAATGGAACTAGCTAAGGCCATGGATCAAAGACTCAAAGCTCTAAGAGAACCTGAAGCTCGCACTCAACTACTTAAAGCGCTGCTTAAAGAACAATCAGGAGTTGCGAAACAACTGAAGAAGATACATCAACAATTAAATATTGTTAATTACGTATATCAGGAGTCTACCCCTCCTGATACTGAAGCTGCCCTATCTAACGGGACTATGGTTCATCCAGCCAGCGTTACACAGAATCTGACTGACTTAGAAGAGCTCGAGAGTAGAGTTAAAATAATACATAACTTAACTCATCGAGCATATGAGCATACTTATAAGATGGCTATTCGTGCAGGGCTTGATCACCCGGCGTTGAAAGAAACCATACGTGAAGTATACCGACGCTGTACTGATTGTGAAAAGAACCAGATCAAGCGCTACGGTTGGGCACCCCTAAAAAGTGTGACAGCAGACCAACCGATGCGCCGAGTCATAGTCAATTCGGTTAAACTCCCGCGATCCAAGCATACTGGCGATGTATATATCTGTCATTTCTTATGTGTGGCTTTGGATTATAACTTGCTTTATGCAATACCGAACACACGCCCGCAAACAGTAGCAGAATTATGCTATCACGTCTTTAATGACTTCGGTTTCCTTTGAGTACTATGTTCTGACAACGGTAGTGAGGTTTGTACCGACGTAATGGAGGCACTTATATTCGTATCAGGCATGACCCATAGGCGTGGTGTTCTTTATAAACCTCAAACGCAGGGTGCAAATGAGACA